CCTATAGTTCCTGGCGAATGATACTGTGAGTCAGGCAGACTTAAATAGCAACTCGGTTTGCTTTGTAACCTCCTTGCCTGTTTATGTTTTTTGCAGCCATGACGGAGTAGCTCTGAGCCTGGCGCTGGCAGGTGAGGCCCTTGAGCTGCAATCCTGTCCCTCCCCTGTCCTTCTTGCCTCTGTGGCCTTAGGTGAAACACATGGCTGGCTTGACCTACAGCATGTGCAGTTTCAGGGTAGGGCCAGTGTGGCTCTATACTTATATAAATACATATAAAATATCCTATGAGATCTGAGTTCTCTACCCATTCTCTGGCTTGCTGCGCAGTGGTAGTTACTTGCATTCAAGTTACGAGTACCCCTTTGACATGATGCAAACCCCTGTGGTGTGGGAGGGAGCTCTCCAAGCAGAGCAACTCTCCATGGGGCTGGGGTCAAGTCGTGCTGTGGTCCAGGCCACCAGGCTCTCCTACTGCCAAGGTGTGTGTCCTTGCCTCGCTGGGCAGGTGTGGAGGGTTGCAATATTCAGCATCAGTGCGATGGTGCAGGCCCTATTCTAAGCCAGTTCTCCAAATATTTAGGCTTTCAAATTACTGTGCTATCTTTCTGTCACTATTTAACTTCTTCCCTGTTGCTAGGCTGTGTGAATCTAAGCAGTTTTGGGGTAAAATGTCTGTTAATGTCTAACATGGTTTGCAGCTTGGCAGCTGATGTGAAGGTGTCAGGGTGCTGGAGATGCCGAGAAGCTTGTGTGAATTCAGATAGCAGTATGACTGCTGTTTGAGGGGTTTGATTTAAATCCTGCTGTGGGCTCCCAGCTACAGAGGACACCATAGGAATCCTGGAGCTGATTTCTGTGGAGCTAGTTGGCCTGCTTCAGCTTGGGGAGAAACTCCAGAGAAACCTCCTCCTCCTGGGCAGGCATCCAGCTGCTTGCCTGTGCTGAGCGTGGGTACAGCTTGGAGCTCACCTTGAGCTGCTCTTGGAGGTGAGCCGCCCATGTCATACACCTCCTGCACAGGTGTACCTAAGTGGCTGCAGCATGGGAAGGAGCTGCATGGCTGTGAGCGATGGGTTCACCAGGTGGGACGGTGGCTGTCCCTGTACAGCAGCTCTGGCCCTCGTGGCTGAAGGCAGCGTGGGCTGGAGGGACCTTGCTGTTGCATGCAGCGCCATGTGGTGCAGGTAACCCCGCTGGAGGTGCTGGGCCTCCCTCGTATCTGCCCTGCAGCCCCCACGGTGTTTCCCAGCATCTGGCTCAGCTGGAGAAGTACTGCCCCTCCAGCAACCTGCTCCCCAGGAGGGGCTGGGAGCAGCTGCTGTGTCCTCAGCCTGCCCAGCCTTGGCCACCGGGCTCTGGAGCCGAAACACCGTGGAGCGGCTCGGGGCCAGCGAGCAAAACCATGGCAGAGGCGAGAGGAGCAGGGGGGAAAAGGCGATGTGAAGAGTCGGCCCTCGCTCTGGTGCGAATGGGAAGCGCCTGTGCATGGCGTGTCCACTGCGGGCTGACCTGGCTGAATGGCTTGAAAGACGCTGCGCGCTGAGCTGCGAGACGGAGCACAATGGAGGCGAGTGAACCGTGGCCGCCCTTCGGGATGCAGGAAGGAAGGAAGTGTCCCCTCGCCCAGGCTGAAGGAAGCCGGATCTGGAGCAGCCTCCCGCGGCCGGTGCTGGGATCTGCTCCGTGCCGCTGCCGCGCTCCCGGCGTGATGCGGGCTGGGTTTCGGCCGGGGCCAGAACTCCCCGCGTTCTCGCTGTGATGACTGCCGAAGGGGTTGGTGGCGGTGAAGAAAGTGTAAAGAAAAGCAGATGATGGGTATCAGAGTTGTTAATGGGGTGTGCTGTGCACCTCCCCTGCTCGTGGGCTGGCAGCAGGGCCAGGGCACGTATGGCCCCCGTGCGAAGGGCCGGGCTCGCCCCAGGGTTGACTTGGGAACGCGTGTGTGTTATTTGCAAGAGCACGGGCTCCCATTCTCCAGGTGTGCTCTTAGCTCGGTGTCGGTGGCCAGAAAGTCCTGCCAGCCCTGGCACTGAACCGACTTTTCCTGCGGTGCTGGACATGTTACTTAATCAGCCATGGTTTCCACTTCAGTAAAACTGGAAGGAGAAGGGAGAGGAGGTGGTGTGAGCTTTGGAAATGGCAGTAGAAAAGCCACCCTTGCTTCAATATACTCCTGAAAAAGAAATCACAGCCAAGTTACAGCATTACGTCACTTTTCTTGCCCTCTTTGTAGTGGGAATCTGTGCACTTCCCATGATTTAGCTTTCACAGCTCAACCGGAGAGCAATTTCCTGGAGGTCCTGTAGTGGTAACCTTTTGCCCAGACCTTCCCATTCATGCATGAAGCTATTCATCAAAGATAGGTGTAATTGCCACAGCCGCCTGCCAGCCCTGCGTGAGCACTATGGGCTGCTTAGCTTTATTCAGCACCTTGTGAAGCAGCTGTAAAAGTTAACTGTGCGTCTCTGCTTGTTCGTTGGCAGCAGCAACCTCGGTGCTGGCTCTCCTTGTCCTGCAGAGCAGTGGGGCTGAGGCTGCTGCCGCCTGGTCACCTTGTCCCTTTGCGGCGGCGAGGTGCTTTGTGCAGCACCACCCTTCCGCGGGACGAGTCGGAGGCGTGGGAGAACAGCGGCTCCTTTCTCCTCCGCCCTGGTGCCAGTCCCCGGCTGGCTCAGTGCCTAGGACTGCCTTTTGTTTGCAAATGCAGGTTTTCCACTTCTCAGAGACCCAGCTCTGTTCTTGCCTCATGCCCTCAGCAGAGGGGTTGGTTGGTGCCTGCCAGCTGACCGGCAAAGAACAGAAAGGAGCAGATTTTAACATTTGCAGAAGGGCTTTGGGACGTTCTGCACGGGTGCAAAGTACGCATTGCTTCAGCTCCCAGAGCAAAGAAACGTTGGGCCAAGTCGTTCTAATCGGGCAGCGTTGTTGACACTGCAGGGTACAGCACACGTGACCCTCAGCCTGGCGCGCCAGGAGGGGCTGAGCCTGGCCCAGCATCAACCTCCTGTTCTCGCACCTAACGTGGAGTTTCTCTTGCTCCGGTAAGAAGTTGGTTCTGCTCATCTTATCGGTGTCGCAAGTTTTGAATATAAATATAGAGGATGCAGTTGTTCTTGACCCCAGGATGTACCTGTCCTCCAAGGAGGCCTTGTTTGTGTTTTCCTTCACTAAATGCACTAAAATTGCAGTGTGTGTTTGCCAGGGCCAGGCTCTCGCTAGAGCAGGATGGAGCAGAAGTGGCCAGTCCCATGCGAAAGGAAGTGATGCTCGGTGATGCTGAGGTGCTCGGTGGCAGGGCTGCGTGCAGTTTCCCCGCACGGCGTGCTGAAACCCTGCTCCTCTCTGAGCCTGAGCGCTGCAGTCCAGGAGGCACGGCTGGGTGCAGATTCCACCGCAAAACAGCGGGTGAGAGCAGCAAGGGCTCCCTGCGAGAGGAGGAGGAGGATGCTAAGGCCCTGTTAAGCAGCGCTGAAGTGCCCTGGGCTGCCCAAATGGCAGCAGGGAGCTGGCAGAGGCTGCAAGCACCCAGGAAGGGGGAACCGGTGCTGCAGGAGCGAGCAGCTGAGCTGGGCTTAGGGCTGTCACTTATGGCTGCTCTTCCCAGATCCATCTAGTTAGTGCTCGGGCTCTTCCCTGGCAGCAGCTGCCACCTGCAAGCAACCTCTTGGGCATGTCACACGATCTGTTCTCGCGCTCTGCGGCCCTGGGGCGTCAGGGGCTCGAGTTCCCTGTTTCCCTCCCGCGGGCTGCCCCGCTCCCCACCTCCCCTGCAGCTATCTCAGCAGTATCGTCCACCGCTGGCTGCAGCGCCGAGGCCCTCTGGGCTGGCAGCATCATGGGTCCCGAGGCAAGAATAGCTCCAAGATCTTCCTAACTTGGTTTTTGCAAATAGCTGATGGAGCTTGGCTCTCCCTAAAAGCTTGCTCTAATCCAGTACTGTTGCTTTCAGTAAAGCAGTAGCACTGGCTCATCTCCTAAAAAACACTCCTGCAGCTCCCATGTGCTTTGGTGTCTGACTCCAGCTTCATTATGGCTTTTGCTGAGGTAAGCTGCTGCCCTTGGTTTCCAGGAAAGGCAAAGCATGTGTGTGATTTAATGAATATTAAATTGAAAAAATAAAAATAAAGGAAGAGTCAAAGCAGAGTTTGGACCCATCTGTCATGGGCAGCCTCTTCTCCTGCAGCCTGCAATCTGGGCTCTGCAGTTCCTGTCTCAGGAACTGCCCAGCACAGGCGACCTGTGGTTTGTTCATTAGCAGCTTGCATGCTTGAGAGCTCGTCCCGACAGCACGGGGCTGTTCGCGTGTGGCACTGCCTTTGCCCTTGCGCCTGGCGCTTGTTCCCAGGACAGCTCTGCACACGCACAATTCGTCCATGAAGGTTAAACAGTTCTGGTGCGTGTTTGAGGCAAATGCTCAGCCCGGGACTCAGCCCCACAATTTAGCAGCCTCGGTTCAGTCCCAGGGGTGCATCTACCCACTGCCTTTTTTCTGGAGGAGAAAGGTCTTGGTTATTAGTGCAGCATCTCATAAGTGTGTCCCCCTGTTTGCTCCCTTCAAACTCCAGACTCTGAATCCAGTTGAAATGAGGTGTCCTGCTTGTTCCTGTGCTCCACAACTCCTGTTGCATCTGTGTGGCTGGATAAAGAAGCTGGTGGCCCGGGCAGCGCGCGGTGGGCAGCAGGCTGGTGGCTGCAGAGCTGGAAGTAGCCGATACAGCCAGCTGGCTCCCTGGGCGCTGTGGTTGTGCTGCTGCTTGCTCTCTTTTCTTTTCCTCCTTGTGCTACATAAGAGGCAATGCGTAGATATCCAAGTGCCTTAAACATCTGTGCACTTAGAGCTTCTCAAAAATGTACATTGAGGCAGGTACCTTGTGCGCTCACAGAGCCCCAGCTGCCGATCTCTCGACAGCTCCATCCCTCGGCGCCTCGGTTCCCAGCTGCAGGGGGTCTGCAGGGAGCTCCGGGTCTCAAACCACCTTCCTGTGTTCTGTCTTTCCAGGAGATGTTCTCTTCCAGATGGCAGAAGTCCACAGGCAGATCCAGAACCAGCTAGAAGAGATGGTGAGTGCCCACAGCTCTTGGTGAGCGCGGCCTTGGCCTCAGCAGGTGTTTTCTCGTCTGAAACGAGGCTGAAGCGCTATCCTGCGAGGGACACACCAAGGGGTTGCCACGCTTGTAGCTTAGAGCAAAACCCGCTCTTCAGCCCTGGCTGCACAAACTTGCCCTTTGTTTTGAGCCTCCAAATTGGATCCCTGGGGAGAGGCTAGTGCTGCGCGGGGGAACCAGCCCCCTCCGCTCGGGAGCGGGTCGGTCCGTCCGTGCTCAGAGCCTCTTTGTACTGAACCAAAGCTGCTAGCGTTGCAGCTGAGCAAAATGGTTTTCCATGTCTTAACCAGATAAATCAGCCTCTCTGAACTGGATCTGTTGGGCTGCGAAGGGTCTGGCCTGTTTGTTCATCCACTTCTGTCCTGCTGGGCGTCTCTCTCTGAGCATCCATCTGTCTCTTGCTGCCATCAGCTTCTCTCCTCTCATGCGTTCAGACAACCTCACCTGCTGTACCCCACCAGTTGGCCACCCTCGTGTTGTTTGCTTCTGTTACCTGTCTGTCTTTGTGCCCCCTCCTGTGCTTGCCTGGTGTCTACTTATAGGCTGCTTCGTGGTGTAGCCCCCTCCTTTCCTTGTCTGCTCGCCCTCTCCCTGGTGCCCTTCGGCGCTCCTCGTACCGGGGTTTGGCAGTCGTTGTGAAGGGAACGTGTACTTTCTTCTTGTTTCCAGCTGAAGTCCTTCCACAATGAGCTTCTCACGCAGCTGGAGCAGAAGGTAGAGCTGGACTCCAGGTACTTAAGTGTAAGTAAGCTACAGACTTGGGTAATTGAAATAGCAAAATGGTTTGCTGATGCTGCCTCTCTGCTTCTTCCTTCCCTGCTTCCCGGCCTTTCCCCCTCTCCCTGCTCCCCCAGGCTTCCTGGCCGGGGTAGCTGGTTGTACTTGGACGCTGCGTGTGTAGGTAGCATTGAAGGTGCCCCAGTACCAAACGTGTCGCCGCATACCGAGCGGTGTTCTGGTCTCCAGTAAAACTGTTAAAGCTACTGTTTGCGTTTGCTGGGTCACAGGATCTGCTCGTCCCAGAAGATGGCTGCACGCTTGCTGTTAAATGCTAAAACGTGGCCTTCGCATCGGGAGCTGAGGCTGAGACGTTGGCTAGAACGAGAAAGCAAACTGTGCGGCAGCTCTCTGGTGTTTTACTGTTCACAACTTTCTCTTCTCTTATGTTTAGGCTGCACTGAAAAAGTACCAGACAGAGCAAAGGAGCAAGGGGGATTCACTAGACAAGTGCCAGGCAGAGCTGAAGAAGCTCCGGAAGAAGAGCCAAGGAAGCAAAAACCCGCAGAAGTATTCCGACAAGGAGCTGCAGGTAGGACACCGGGGGCAAGGAAACAAGCCCCCCTCACATGTACAGCACGTAGATAAGTCTGTCGTCTTCGTGCAGGGCAGCAGCCGCTTTAAACCACTGGCTAGAAGCGGGCCAAAACTTGCAAGCGTTTAGATAATGGTTGAGCGTTTTCTTTTGAAAACTCGGTCCAGTAGTATCAGGGGAGCGTGGTGCAATGTGGGAGGTGGGGGTAGGAAGGGGGAGGCAGCCCGTAACGCGGGGCAGGTCGGTCTCGTGGCCGTGTCCGGGGGACGGAGCTCTCTTGGCTTTGGAGCAGTGCTTTACGCTCAGCTGGCGGCGGGCGGTGTGTCAGCGACTAACCTGGTTCAATCCACCACGGTTGGCTAATGAATGAACCCGGTAAGATCGTGAATTTCTGTCGTGCCAGATCCATCTCCCCGGATCATGTTTTGCTTAAACATTTTCCTATGCCTCCTGACTCTGAATCCCTTCCCCCAGCCTGGCAGGCTGGCGAGCACACGCTGGAGGAGGTTTGCGAGTGAATCACTTGAGTGTGATTTCTGGTTTAGGCATACTTGCAAACCACATGCTGTTTTCTAATCGGGTTCTGATTGCGTCGTCCCGAGGCTGAGGGGCTGGAGCCCTCAGCAGGCAGCGGACGGGTCCTGGCTGAGGCTCGGGCTTTAAGGTGGGCACGCTTCGGCTAGCAGTAGCATTAGGATTCCCAGGAGGGAGAAGGTCAGGGCTAAGATCTCAGTGAAGAGTGTCCAGGGCAGAGTTCAGAGACGGCAGTGCTGCAGCGCGGGAAGCTTTGGCTGTGGTGCTCGCAGCAACGGGAACTGAACCGGGGCTGTGACCGGCGGGCGATATGTGAAGGGGTTATGGCACTCAGTGGGTTAATGACGTATTCACAGCATGAGTTTGTCTTCTGAAGTCTGTGGCCTTTGATTCAAGCTTCTCCTGGAGCATGTCTGAACGTGACTAACAGGTGACGAATGCATCAATCTGTAAACTCGCTCAGACCTAAAACGCTGCTGTAGCTAAGGCCATTGAATGATTACAGCACTGATGGTGCTTTATTGAGGAAAAGGGGAACAATTAATCCCCAAGCCAGAAATTGCGTGCTCTTGTCTCTGAAGCAAGGCATTAGAATATAGATTGTGTTGGGACTGGAGTCTGTTACTTCAGATGGAATAGGTTGATAGCACATCCAAAATAACCATCTTTTTCCTAAGGTGATCTAAACATCAGTGGCATCTCTCTAGCTGGGACTGTGTACAGAATGGCATTTAAAGTAATCAGCAGACAGAGCGAAGATTATGCAGGGGAAGTGACATATTTAATTGCGCTAAAATTTGGGAAATCAGTCATTCTCTTGGTAGTGTGAATCAGAATAATCACTGGAGGAGAAAAACATATCCACAGTCATCCATCAAGGCTCTGAGTGCAACTCTTGTGCTGAACTGAAGTGCTTTGTATTACACTCGTGTTAATTTGCAGCCTCCCAACTCCCAAGACTGCTGAAATTGCTTGCACAAGGCATGGTCAATTTGAGTATCTTTGAAAGGTGTTGATTTGGTAGGACGTAGGGGCCCTGCTTACTAGGGCAAAGGCTGGCACTTTCTTGAAAGCTGAGCAGTTTAAACCACTTTGGAATACTGACACCTTTGCAAGTCATTGCTCTGAGATGTTTGCTGGAAGGAAAAGCTTGTTAAGCAAAGAGCAAAGGCATCTTTCAGCGAGAGGAAACCTAGGGTGTGGAAACTGGAGACTGGTTAGTTATCCCCTTCCCCACAAAAGCTGCAAGAGGGACAGAAGAGCAAAGTTCCTGCCAGAGCCCCTTGTGCCCTGCCTGAATACCCACAGGGTTACTGCTTCCCCCTTGCCAGGCCCAGAGTTAACGAGGATGAATTTTCTCCTCTGTTATAGGTTTTATATAGCTGAGAGAAGGAGTGATGGTTTGATATTCCTGCCATGAATTGGCAGAGATAGGGATGGTTCTGCTAGCACAGCTTCTTTGGGTAAAGATAGAAAAACAGGATCAGGCTTTCGTTCTCTTAATCTTTCAACAGTAAGTATTTAGGAACTGCTTATCTCTTTGAAAAAGCCTTATGATGGCTTTTAAGCTTAAAGAGCTGTGAAACTACTCAACTGTTAGCTTTTCCTTTTTTTTTTTTTCCTAGATCAAAATACAAAGTTGAAATTGCTGAATTCAATCAAGAGGGTTATTTTTCTTCTCTTCTCTGCTAGCTATTATGCTGATATTTCATACTTTGAACAGAAAAAGAAGAGGAAAAAAGTATTTTGAGCGGCTCTTGATGCTGTTCTTACCTTTCCTTGCTAGGACACGGGAAAACATGGATTGTGGCTATTATAAGCAAAAGTGCTATGTCCCTTCTGGTCTGGAATGCCGTAAACTTCCTAAAGGCTCAAATGGATTCCTTTGGTCAATGCTGAGGAAATTTTAAAATTGGGCCAGCAGTGTCATTCTAGCATCAGGCAACTGGGAGATTACTTTAAAGGGTGGGCCCTCTGTCTTGAGGGAAGCGGGGATGTTGCTGCAAGGAAGGAACTTGGCAATTGGATTAAAAGCTGTTGCCTCTGAACCATGCAGTGAAATGCTTCGTGTGGAGGATGAGCTGCGTGCTGTTGTTGGCTCTCTTATTTCCAACCGTAATGTTTCCAAAAGTCACTTCTTTTTTTTTTTTTTGTTGCAAAGCCAAGGCCGGAAGCAATGCTGCTCAGAGGAGACCACTCCTCTGCTGGGCTCTTTGCTTCCTCCTTGGGCTCAGCTCTGCTGGCATCCCACGTCTCAAGAGGAACTGGCCTGAGGAAGGAGCCTCTTGCCTGGGTTAGTGAGAACGAGAGAGCTTGCTGTCAGCGCTGCAGCTGAGGTCTGTTAGCAGCTCCAGACTCCTGTCTGAAGAGCCGCTCGTGTTGCACCATGTGATCTGTCTCCACAAGAATCTTTCTCTCTGTTTACTTAAAACTGAGAATCACTCAATTCTCAGAAGGGAGTTGCTGTTTTGTTTCTGCTTTGTTTAACTGGCACAGGACTGTCTTTGTGGCCAACTTGTAAAACCACCAGCCAGCAGAGGCCTTTGTGGAGGCTGCTAAAGGCACCTCTTAATGCTTGCAGGAAATTGAAGTCATGCTTCATCAAGTTGGTGTCTAGGGAAAAATGACTGATCAAACAACAACTGGATGGAGCTCTTTTAATGTAGTGTTGCGGATTGCTTTGTCTCGTAATGGGAGAAGTTGCTGTTGGCAGAAATATACTGGTAGCTACATAAGTCATTTCATTCAATAAAGCAATAAAATCTTGTTCTTTTGAAGATTCATCCACTTAAGTTACTGTAGCACTTAGCAGCCAGGAATTTGATGCTCTGTCATCATCTCTCTTCATATTTAATGCTACAGGAAGCATAATCGCTCCTTTTAGCCTTTTCACTGCATATTGAGTGACCGCATTTTGTCATTGTCTATAAGTAAAATAGATGCTTGAAATCTGAGCCCCAAGAGAGTGAGTGGCGCCCTGCAAGTGGCTGCTCTTGTTCCAGCCTCTCGGGGAGCTTTAATATGTATTTGCTATAAAACGATCTCGCTCTGCCAAGGTGAGGCAAATTTTGAGGCTGTTCAGGCTCTGGTTTGCCAGGTGGAAGAGGACCATGCTCATCTGAGCCAGGATACTGGCAAGGTTGGCTCAGCCTTCCCAGGCTGTGCTACATTGATCAGAAAGTCCAGTAGAAGAGCTCAAACCCTGTCCTTGCTCTGAGACTCTTCTCCTGAATTCAAATTTTTCCCTTTTACAAAGGAGGAATAAATGCTAATATTCAGCAGGCACTGCACATAACTAGTTGTCTCGTGGATGGTGAGCAGTGGCTTCAGGAACATGGAGGAATTGAGGAAGAGGATGAGACTCTTGGGGTGAGGCTGAGGCAGCAGAGCGCTGGCTCCTAGTAAGCTGCCCTAGAGAGCTAATGCAGACATTGTCTGCAAGTCCCACGTTATGTTTGCCGTCTCTTGTGCTTACTTTGTGCTTTAATAGATGAAGGAGGACTTCACAGGATTAAAATAGTTCAGAAATTAAAACACCTTGTGGTTTTCAATAGCAGGAGACTCGCGTAATTTAAAAGCAGCTTGAAGTGCAATTAGTTTGCAGTAATGATTTTCCATTTCCAAAGCTTTAGTCTGTCACAGTTGAGACAGATGCTGTGGTTATGGGTTGTCACTGTTGCGTGTCCCAGTAAGGTCAGCTTTTTTCATTTTTCTGGGTCAGTCCAGAGGATCCTTTTTGTTATACATGAGGAATGAAAGTTGGAGTGAAACAGCCACTACCTCAACTCTCTCAGCCAAGTTACCTACTTATTGAGATCTTTTTTTTTGGGCCTGGCCTGAGAACTGGGAGAATAAACCAATTCTATTCACTTCATGCCTTTTATGAAAAAGAATGAGGACAAATATTAAGATTAAATAAACATCAAGGAAGCTAAACTGCTGTAATTTCATTAAGTGTCGGTTATGATCAAGCCGTCAAATCAAGGTCACAATGGGTTTATGACCTTGATTGAATCAGTAAGTCAACAACGAAGTTATGTTGGTTCATCAATTTATCAAATCATATTAGTGCTACAGGCAATTGAATTTCTTCACGAAGCTGAGACAAAAAAATGTTGCTTGTAATTCTTGCAAAATCACAAGATTGAAACAGGCTTAAAGGTTGTGTCCGACTTGGGCACGTGAGGAATATCTGTATGGTCTATGTGAGCGTGTTTTAGATGTAGCTATTTCGCTAAGCTCTGTCCTGGTGTAACAGCTTCCAAATTACTGTGGGTGGAACAAACTTCATCGATCTAAGGTCATCTTTGACAGCAACTTGGTGAACGTCTGCACAGCAAGCAGGCTGCAACTCCTTCGTATCTGGTACAACCAGGCTGGTAGAGAGCTTTAGTATAGCTACAGCCAAGAAATCCTCAGATTATCCTCAGAAATGGTCTCGACATTGTAGCTGAGGGTTGTGG